GAATTTCTCTACCATTTAAATGAGGAACTTGTGTGAAAACAAGGATTTCTTATGACCTCAAGAAATAATTTCTTACTAAAAAAAAAAATCATTTATTTCACTCCTCAAGTAAGTACTTCAGAAATTGGGGCAGGTGAGGAGAAAGGTCTCGGCAGTGGCAGTTTAATGAGAAATGAAGTAATTTGATTATTTCTACGGTGTGGATCAATAACAGTCGGCCTCCGCAGAGGCCCCTGGCCTGAAGGCAGCGGGATAATCAATAGGCTCACACAGGGGTGTTCTCCTCCCCCAGCAGCCTCTCTGATCTTTTCTGGGCAGACTCTTCACGCCTGTGTAATTCTAATTTATGTCAACTAGAAATCAAAGAAATTCCAAGAGGCTTTGGTCATAGGACATTGGGGTGGACCTTTCAAAACCTATTTATGTCTGTTCCTTAAGTAAGGCGGCCCCATGGCCCTCCTGGCGCCTCTGGGCCAAGGAGAAGGAGGCTCCCAGCCGGCGGGCAGCTGGCTACCTGCTCGGGACCAAGGTGAAGCAGCGGGGCTAGGTAAGTGGGGAACCCTCTCTTGGTCCTGTCTGCAACACTGCAGGGACATGAGAACTAATAAGCATTTTAAGCAAAATGCTTGGCCAAGAGTGGCTCCCTCAATAACACTCTTTAATGATACCCCAGACGCTGGCATTTTCAAATCAAATGAACAGTGTATAAAATTAGTTCTGCATGAAGTTAAAAAAAAATGTAAGTGAAAGGGAGCTTTTAAAAGCTCCAGCATTTCTCCATCCAACTGCTTTTCACAAGGGTTTGGCATATTGCTACATTTATGATGTTATTCGCTGCTCATAATTCAGGCCCTATGTCTCCAAACTTCTGTATTAACACACACTGCAGAGGTTTCCACCACGACATTTTATCACCGAGGTTTCCCAAACCAGCCAGGCCGCCTCTGGCGAGGTCTGGTTTCTCAGCCAATGCCATGCCACTGGGCTCTCTCCCTTTTCATCAACCTTGTTACCCCAAACATTTTTCATTAACCTTGAACATTGCATTTCCATTTGCCCTACAGCTTTTCCATAAATTTTTTTTTGTCCTTTTCAGTTTTGTTCTCCATCCAAACTGCCTTGTAAGAAATGAGGAAAATACATTATTAGAAGAAACGCATCTACATGGAATCTAGAATTCACTGAAGTTGTGAGAATGGTTTCTGTGACCAAAACCCCTGTCTGTAATTGTGGAAAGCGGAGTAAACATATTGCTCTTATTAGAGAGTCCCGTTGATTATACAAGTAGTTTTAACTAAATCACCAAATAAATGCGTGTTAAGTTGATAGGTGATTTCGGGTCAACTCTAATTCTCAAGGTCAAGTAAGCCTTTGAACAGTCTTTAAGAATGTAAGTTCACCCCAATTCATCAAAGCCGTCTCACACAGCGTTTTCTTCTCTTGGTTCTTACAATGCACTGAAGTTTAGGAGATTAAGTGGCGTCGGCTTCAAAACCCAAAGTAATGCCTCTAACATGCTTATCCATCCAGCAATCAGAAAAGCTTCTCAGACAGGGGCTTCTTAACGCACTTCCTAATTTTACAAGTGCTGGGGAATGCCGCATTTGTCAAATGGCTGCAGGACTCCGCCCTAGGAGTCACCCGCGCTGCAGGCAAACAAATTTACTGCAGTTTTGCTCAGACATTGTCTGATAATCTAAGGACATGTTGCTTTCATCTGCAAAGAATATGTTTCATGATTCTCATCTATTCTTTGTTTACCTAATGAAAGAAAGAGAGACAGAGGCAAAACACTTTTTCCTTTGAGAAATAGACTGTGTTTTGTTATTCTTACAGTTCCTCAAAAGCTCAAGGGAGAAAAAAAAAGCAGAAGTTTGGTAACATACAGCTTTCAAATTAAGTACAAGTGGCCCAAATAAAATTGACTGCCTGTGAAAGAAAATATAACCAGCCTTCACCCTTTCTCCGAGCCGTAGGATCACAGAACACGAGCCCTGGGATACACAGACGCCACGAACCCCATCTCTCCCCAGTGCAGGGATCTATCTCACTGACAACATTCCTGACAAGGGGTAACTGTGCAGCCCGGTGAGACCTCTTGCCATCCAGCTGCTGTGCAGAAAGGGGAAGGAGAACTCAAGTCAATGAGTTAGCAGTGGTTAGCAGCCTGGATTAAGAACAGTGTGAGGCCCAAGTTAATTTTGTTCTTTAATTCTTCGTTGGCACAGATGATCGCATGAGATAGTGAATCTTCCTCTCCATATCCTAATAATAATTTCTGTTTCCTGTTTCTATTCTCATTCGTCTGCATTATTTTTCTTATTACTTTTTTTCCTGTTTCCCTACATATTTAAATGGTCTTATCTCCAACTCACCCTATTCCCTTCATCCCTATGCTTGGGTTAGTGAGCTAATCCCAAATATAGCACGTCCTATGGAAGCATAAGTTGTCCTCTGTAAGGTGTGCAGAACATGCAGTTATTGATATCTTTGTATAGAAAATAAACTTCTTTTTAAATTTAAGTGAGGAAAAAGTAAAAGGGCAAAATCTTCTTTGAGTTTTTTCCCTCTTTTTCATTTCCTTTCAAAATCGGTAGCAGGCAATACATCTTTCGTCTCATTTGGAAATTCAAATATGAAACCACAGGCTAATGTAGTGATAGTGATAAGAATAATCAGTAACAGCATTTTATATATAACTAACGTTATTCTAAGGGCTTGATATATGTTCACTCATTTAAATGCTCACAAGAATTCTACAAGATGGGTACTATTATCATCCTCATTTTACAAATGAGGAAACAGAGGCACTGAGAGGTTAAATAACTGCCCAAGACGACAGAACGAAGTTCAGAGCCCAGATCTGAATGCGAACTCTGGCTCCAGCGTCCATGCCCTCAACTACTAACCTCTTTTCTTTGCTCCTCAAATCTTTCTTACAATGTTGATAAAATTTTAAAATCTGGAGATAGATAGCATAATCCAAATTTTGAAAGCTGAATAGCGACTGACTAGATTTCCATCCAACTAAACCAACCAGCAGGCTTCTGTGCAAGGCTTTACTTGCAATTTGTGTGTGGTTTGGAAACTTCTTCCGTCCTCACAGAACCCCTCTTGTCTGGCTCGGAGCTGCCTTAGGCCTGAGGGCGCCAGGCAGCAAGACAGAGCCCAGGGTCAGAGGCGTGGTGCTACAGCCAAGTACTCTCAGCAGCTCTCAGGTTGGAGGAGGGATCCGGAGGTTGGAGGAGGGATCCGGAGGCCGCCTGAGGAAAGCGCTGAGACCTTCGGGGATACCCACCAACAGAATAGCCTCCCCTCCCCATCTCCTTTTGAACTAGCTTGTATTTGGGTAGAAAAGAATCCATTTCTTAACTTGAAATTAGCAAAATGCCAGTCAGCAAATACATCTGGACTAATCTTCCCCTGTACTAACTGGAATATACATTTGTACAGTTCATCTATGAAGGTGGAGCTGACCTCAACGTATCTAAATAGCACGGACTAGCAATACCGTGATTTCCGAGCATGACTGCAGATGCGTCTATTTTGAACGCATGCATTTCTGGCATCCTTGGTTAGGTAGCACTCATGTAGCAGTTTCTTCTGGTGGAAGCTGAAGGGCTCTGCTGTATTTGTTTGATTATAGAATACTCTGCCTACTATGGACCCTTTGTTTTAAAAGAATTTCTTTTTAAAGTGACAGGGTTAGTAGTAGTGTTAGGTTAGTAGGTAGTGAAGTTGGAGGAGTGCTTGCAACCCCTGGGTCTCAGTGCTGTTGCTTAGTAACAGTCAGGAGCTTTCTGGGCTGGGCTGAGAATACATAATAAAATCTCTCTAAACATAACTTACTGGCAGAGGCCTAGTATAAGTTGGGATTTTAAAGCATTTGGAGAAAAGAACTAGGTCAATTAACAAAATCACAAAGCACACAAAGGATTTGGGCCAGTCTTCTACTTGCCCCCAAACATGCTACATTTAGAAAACGCATGTCCTTTGAGAGGCGTATATATTTAGTTTCACTCTCTTTTGCTAGATATGGCCCTGATCATCATTTGCAAAAGTAGTACACAGGTGTACATTATTAGAAGATGCCAGCATTTTCTTAGCAAGTATGTGAGGTGGACCTTCTCTAAGGAAGCAGTCCCTGTGCCTGGAGGTGCCACAAGTACTGACCATGAACTTAAGACCGGGCTAACATCTGGGAGGAGTGGTCTTGGGCCAGTGCCTGGTCTTTTGGGGCCTCCATTTTCACCCCTTCACAGCACAAATAACTATTTCTTAGGTTTGCTATAGGGAAAACTTGGAAGTAACAAAGAGGAATGCAGGTAATCGATACAGATTTCTATCATTTTTCTTCTCAGTCTTCAAAGGGCACCATATTAAATGTGGTGCAATTTCCCAAATTCACGTCCATGTCTCTGGGCCGGCTCACAGATCTTTAGTGGGAACCCTGGGAGCCTTTCTCATCCTGTGCTCAAAGTGGCATCTGAAGTGTGGAAAGAGGCAGAGTCCCACCTAATGTCCCCACACTGGCTCTTTCTTGACTCCACAGGCACAGAATACACAGGTGTTGTGAGCTGAGATTGTACACTTCAGATTGTGAAAAAAAGAATTTGGCACTGCTCTTTTCACCTTATGGTTGCAGGAAACTTGGAACCCAGGACAGAATTTTACTGTTAGACCCTGCACATCGCAGTGTGCCATGCAAACATTATCAGTTTTGTGCCATGGGTTTACAGATAAGAGGCCGAAATCTAAGTTGACTGTGTGTATGATTTCTTGTTTTTCTTTCTGCACAAGCACAAAATTCATTTTTAAACAGAGAAATGCAAAAATAACCTCGGATCAGTTTAGAAACCTAGGCATCTTACAATGTAGAGCTGTAACAGTACATATATGTGCTTGTATACATCCATATAGCTAAGGAGAGAGAGAGAATATGATATCAAGCTACTAACTACACTGATATGTAGAAAGGAAACTTGAAAGGTAACTCTTACTTTATCGCATCTCATCAGCCCCAAATATCTCAGAGACTTGCTGCTCTGCGCAATGAGGGTGGCTCCTTGGTCTGTAATTTCTTTACACCATCCAACGTCCACTGTCTCTATGGTCATGCTGTATCGCCCAATGGCTATCAGTGCTGCAGGGAGGGACAGAGAGAAAGCAAGCAAGCACAAACGTTAGTAGTGTAAGGGATCTCTATCTCATCATGACTATTTCTCTCATTTCCTCACTAAATTTGTTCCTGAAACGTTGTGTGTAGATGAACATTTTATAAACTAAATTAAATTTGAAATGCTTTAGGAAAGCTTACCCTAAGATAACCCCTATCACAAAGCGAATAATCATTCCATAATTTCCCTTTCATCAGAACACAACCTTTTATCAATTTTACTCATTGCAAGTTTACTTGTACTTTCAAACATTCATATCTGCAGAAGGAATAAATTCAATTACACATATAATGTTACAGAAAACCCCAAGCAGTAACTAAGTTTTACCCAAGATAACCTTAATGATTTAAAAAAAAAACCCATTGTAAATATTTTGAGGTGTGTTGTACTGCATACGAATTTCTTTATCGATTGGCATAATTTTTCAATCTGTTCCTAATCTGTAAAATGTAAGAGTATATACCATTTTTCACATTAGTCTTTCTTGGGACTGTTAGGAATTAGGAGCATATTATACATACAGTTGAATTTAATTGGTGCCATGCTAGAGTGCAGTAAAGGGAATGCATTTGTTATGGTGAATTTCCTCACCGTATCAGAAGTCTTCCTTCTATTAACATATAAAATGAAACCTGTCGTCTGAAAAGGATGACAGTATCTCTAGTTTTCCTGAGTGTTTAGCATTGTACCACTACAAAAGATTATCCTATAGTCTTGGACGTGCACTACTTATCGCTGCTCCAGGACCCATCACCCTATCAGAGCGACCAGCTAGTGACTGTGGTTCTTTGCTACAGACTCCTGATTTGATAGCTGTGCTCACCTCTACGTTTTTGGAGCAGAAAAGCAGATTTCAGTAACTCCAGCCAGAATACGTTTATGGTGCATTGGTTTGTAAATGTAACCAATGCCACAGATACTAAAAAGGAAGGAGAAATTGTTTGCTAATTATTTCCTCAGGCTAAGATAGGATGAATTGATTTCTGTGGCATTAAAGGTAGATGATATTTTCTGATTGACTAGATTGATGAGAGTAGAGTGAATTACTCATGTAAAGAAATGTTAACTCTCACAGCTCACAGAAAAGTACACTTGGCAACACCTCTTGGCTAAATACCTCAGTAATTTTTTTTTTATTTTCTAGAAAACTCATAACCTTTCATTCAAGTATCATAGTCAGATATTTAAAGCTTACAAAAACAATAATCATGATCTGAATGTTTTTCAGTGAAAATGCTATAAAGGAAGAAAATATTTCCTGGGAAGTTCGTCATGCCACCAATTTGCAGATATTCTCATCTTTGCACATGCTATTTTTTGGCATTTAGTTTTCCAAGGAGGCGGAGCAGGGAAATGGTTTGCTGAATGGATTGAGTGACCCCTTTGCATAGCAGAAGCAATAGCTCAGGTTAATCCCATGGGCGTCTCTGACCTAAGAAAATTGTTAGCCCTGGTACTGCCGTAACTTTCATTGGTTATGATGTCCTGAGGATCTCTCGTGATGAATGAAGTAAAAGATACATAAAAGAAATGCCTTTCAATACAAAGTACTCAAACTGTGATTTCAAAAGATGACAAAGCACAAGTGGTAGGATGACCCCAGGTCGGTAGACTGTGTACTTTTATTGAGGCTTGAGGCTAGAACACGAAAGCCCTGCACTGGCCAGAAAGAGGTAAACCAAATGATCTGCAGAGTTTCCAGAAGCTGCTTTAAAAGCAAAGGATGAGTCAACAGCTACTGACTCTAAGTGCTAAAATCTCTGGTATTTGCTATTTTATTCTTTCTTTTCCAATTAAAATAGATAGTACATAAAACCACTGAAGATAAATCAGGGTATTTAGGTGTTGTTTTGGCATAGTTTTGTTTACTGAAGTAAGAATTAAACTTTATTATTGCTTAACTCATTCATTTATTCAAAATACACCTCATGAGCACTCACTCTAGAGCATACTCTCCCGGACTTACTGAGTGGCCCTGGGTTAGGTGCTGGGCTAAGGATTTTAGGTGCATTATCTCATTTCATCCTCACAGCAGCCTTATGAAGGAACGACCCAGTAAACCATCTCAATACAGTGTTCATCCCCCATCTCTTCCCATTCCTAACTCTTCACTTTTCAGATCTCAAGTCAAAGGTCAGCTTCTCAGAAAGGATCATCCTATCAATTACTGTTATTGGAAATGTTATTATTTCTTTATTTGCTTATTTTATTTTTTGTGACCCGCCTCCTCCATTAGAATGACAGCTCCTATTCACCACTGTATGTCTAGCATCTAACATGTGCTTAGTAAAGAGTTGATTCTTTAAAATATGAGCCGAACACACCAATGCCTATCATATGTTTAGGTCTATGATGGAGGCATGCCAAGAGGGCATGGGGGCCTCTCACTCTTCAGGGAAGGAGAGGTATCATGGGAACCCTCTTGGAAGAACTAAGCTAGGTCTTGAGTGATGAGTAAGGATTCTCCAGAAGAACAAAGGAGTTAGGGCAAGTGTGTTGGGCTAAGGAAAAAGCGTGTGTAAAAGTGGAGAGATGTGCAAGTTCAGGGAAGCTACAGGTCATTCTGTGTGGCTGAAATACAAACACACACAAGGGAGTAGCAATATTTATTCAAGAAATGTTTATTCAATACTTAGTAGCATTGGGGTAGGCATAAGTGATGCAAACAGCAGCAAAAATAAGCACAGTCCTTGAAGTCACGAAGCTTATATTCTAGAAGAAGAGATAGAAGTGACACAAATAAATGCAAAAGTATATATAATTCTAAATTGTAACAAGTGCTCTGAAGGAAATTGACTGATTGCAGTAAGAATAACATTTAGATTGGGGGAGGGGGTACCAGGGAGAGTCTTTCTGATGAAGTTATTTTTAATCCCTCAAATAGCTCTGCAAAACAACCCCATTTTGGAGGTAAGAAAACTGAGGTTAAACACCTCACCAAGGCCCCATCCCTAATAAGTGGCAGAACCAGGGTGCAAACTGAGATAGTTTGTTTCATTCCAAAGCCAGTGCTCCAGCAACACCCAGGGTGGCAGAGGAGCCTGCCTATAATATATTCAGGATGTGTTTCCCTTTATCACAATTCAGGAGTGAAACATTGCAGCTTATAGGCCGCCAAGTATTTACCCTGTGGCTATAGAACAGGGGGTCCAACAGAATCTTTAAATTCCAAAATCCATACTAAGTCATTTCCCTCTCTGTACTATATAGCCTAGCTTTGGGTATCTTTTCATTGTTGTTCATAAGCTAGCTGTGAAACCTGTGGTGTGGCATAGTCTCAAACTCATTTTCAGCCTCACAGCACAGTACATGCCAGACCTGAGGATGACATTTAACTTTTCTGAGTCTCGGCTTCCCCGCCAGGACAATGGGGGTGTTGACTCTATGTCCTGCCTACTTCACAGTGTCGGTTTGAGGTTCAAATGAGATAATACATGTAAGGGGCTTTGTACTGCCTAAATTCAATGATTTATTTGATATTGCCCCAAAGCATTCTACAGTGGTGCAGTTGATGAAACATGGAAAGACTTGAGAGAGTTTTGAAAGATAAAAAGCTCTGGGCAAATGAGAGTATTAAAGAAGCAGTTGGTCACTATGTCACTGCTAGCGTTCTTGAACTTCCTGTTCTCCATTGGTGACCATGAACCTGTAGACTGCACCTGGGACGACAGGGCTGCACATGTATGTAAGATTACTGCCTTTATTAAGGGCTGTTGACACATTATAATGATACTTATTGAGCCTTGAAAAGGGATTGATTATGCAAGACTAATTCCTAATCCCCATGCAATTTTAATATAGTTTTTATGTGCTAAGTGCAACTAATAAAGTTAAATTTTAAAAAGTTACGCAAATTAAAAGCTGTAATTCAGTAACTTATAAGATGATCAAGGATATATATTAACTCACTAAAAGGCATTTCCATAGGCATATGGAGTGACTGAAAGACACAACCACATATGTACTTAATTTTGACTAAGAAATTCCATTTCTAGGAATCTACCCTGAAAATAGACTTCTAATTATACAAAATTACAAATATACAAGTTTATGCATTGGAGCATTGACTGTAACTGCAAAATAATGGAAACAGCCTTAGTGCCCATACATAGGAGTGTGGTTAAATAAGCTATGCTACAACCCTCACAACTGAATACTACGCAGCTTAAAAAAAATTAAAGGGGGAAGATCACAAGGAACTTTCAAATCATTCAGGGAATAAAGCAAAGTGCAAAAGATCTTATGTGGTGTGCTATCACCATATAAAAAGGAATACAATAAAAAACATGAATCTTCACATTTGTGAAAAAAAATGTGGGAAAGATACATCAGAAACTACAGATACTGTTTAACTATAGGAGGCTGATGGGAGAGGAGAAAGAAGGGGTCACAGAATGTGGGAGTGGGGTGTGAGGAGGGACAGACATTTTTTTTTTAATACACAGGATGTCTCATTTTCTTTTTTCTTTTAAAGATTTTATTGGGGAATTGGGGGAGGGGAACAGCATTGGGGAATTGGGGAAGGAGAACAGACAAGTTGCTGTCCCTTTTTTCTTTAGTCTAGTTGTGGAGGACTTTGCTTCACTGGCTCATGTTGTTATTATCATTGTGCTCTTCCCGGGTGAGGCAGTTGCTCACCGGCCATTGGATGGCTGCTCATGGCAGCTCACGCTGGCTGCCAGCCACACACGGTAGCCCACGGCAGCCCACTGCAGCAGGGGCTGCAGCCTACACCGTCACTGGCGACTCACGGCAGCCCAGCTCCAGGTTGAGCTGTTGTTCACCATCTTAGCTGTGGTGGGCAGTGTCACTGGCCCCCATGTGGTATCCAAACCGGGGCCCTGCTGCTCAGAGCTGGCGTCTCAAACCAACTCTTAACCAATACGCCACTCGGCTGGTCCCGGGACAGACATTTCTTGAAACATCTCTTTGGCTATACATAGCTTTCACCCTCTGAACAACAGTAATGCTTTACATATCTCCC